CATTCCATGGATTACCATGAGGCTGAAAAAGTATTTCCTGACATCGATGTATCACATACACAAACACACAGTCAATATATAATGATATTCCTCCTGCTGCAGGGACGACGAAAATAAATTCCAAGTTACAAGGGTCGTATTAACGTACCTCCTACTTGTACTAATGGCTCTGTAACTACAGATTGTGTGACTCTCACCCCTCAGACCCTAGACGGGTTGCAGAGTTGTATAAACCATTTCGAATGACGTTATTAGCTGGTATACTCCTGGAATGCTTCATGCCTTCGTCAGAAGAGTTGAAGACATTCTCAGTATGCGAGAGAATCTGTCAAGCATCCAGTCTCATTAAAAAGTATTACAGAAAATGTCCTCAGCTTCCCTCTAACTGTATGTGTTCTTTTTTTTTCACCCAGAGTTATGAATTTTCTCAAGCTTTGAGCTGCTTCCCTGGGTTTACTTTTTGTTATGCTATGAGTTACCATTGTTTTTTTTTTTACAATCCAGGAGCTATTTTCTTCATTATTTTCAAGTTAATTACTCGTTATCGTATTTAATTCGTTTCAGTGTTCGGCCTAAGCACTCCGTTAATGATTTACAATACTTCAAAGACTGTGACCACCAGCAGCAGCTAGCAAAAACACAGTTACCTGTTAACTTCTAGATGAAAACACATTGCGGGTGTAAACGATACTTACTCATTCTTCTCGCCTACTCCAAGGTTCGAACCTGCCAGCTTTGAACTGTGATTCAACTGCTCAGCTTAACTAGCTATAGACGGAATCTTCATCGACATAATTCTTTAGACACATGTGCAACAACTGGGTATCTTTATTGTAGACGTTTCGCCATCCAGTGGCTTTATCAATACAAATTCTAGGACATAACTTGAGGACAGTAGAACTATGTACAGAAGATGAAGTAATCAGTCCCTCAACCTAGGAGTAGGTGCGAAAGCAACCATAGTCGTGGAACTATGGGGCTCTTCGCACCTACTCCTAGGTTGAGACGATTACCTCATCTTCTGTCATATTCTACTGTCTCAGTATGTCCTAGAATTGTATGATAAAGCACTGGATGGCGAAACGTCTACATAAAGTACCCAGATGTTGGCAAGTTTTTAATCTCATCTTGTCGTATTATATACCATTCGTACACATAATTCTTTAGCTCGACGTATTGAAATGACTGAGACAGCAAAAGGCTCTAACCTGTAAATGACTGAGTAGGAAAACAAATTAAGCCTGTGCAAGAAAGGTATAAAAACCGAAAGCTTAGACCAAATGCAACATCTGGTTCTTTATGTCGACGTTTCGCCATCCAGTGGCTTATCATACGATAAGGATAATTAGAAGACAGTAGAACTATACACAAAGATGAAAGGGATCATCCCTCAGCCTTGGAGTTAGGTTCACAGCATTGTGGAGGAGAATCTGGAGCAAAGGCAATAAACTGACGTTATTAGGCGTCAGTGGATAAGGACGGTAAGCCACTGTAGGCGGGGTTCCCCAGTGGAAGTAGGTCCTACCCAAAGGGATGGGGGTAGCAGCCGTGAAAAAGGGTCTTGTAGTGTCCTCTGAACCAAGATTCCATGATGTTGCAGTGTCTGACAAGTTTTGCAAGAAAGGTATAAAATACCGACACTATGAGGACATCTACAAGACCTTCTTCACGGCTGCTACACCCATCCCTTTGGTAGGACCTACTTCCACTGGGGAATCCCGCCTACCAGTGGCTCTACCCGTCCTTATCCACTGACGCCTATATAACCGTCAGTCTTCTTGCCTTTGCTCCAGATTCTCCTCCACCACGATGTCTAAACTGTAGTAAACACTATAACTCCAAGGATTCCAGAGGGACTTGATTAAAATTTCAAAACTTTTATAAAAAGATAGTTCAACTGTCTTCTTAGCCTAAAATCTGTATTGATAAAGTCACTGGTAAATGGCAAACGTTAACAATAAAATATCCCGTTTATCCTTGAAATCTAAACTTTCAAAATCTAAGCTTTAATAGAAGCGAATAACAACATCTCTTTAGAATGTAAAAGAAGGTGAGTAAATTATTCACAGTTATTAAAACTGGTTAAAATTAACCCTACTCTCACTGCAACTACTAAAATTTAAACCTGTTTATCCTTTCGAAAAGTTAATGTAACTGACACTTTCATTACGAGAGTTAATTGAAATTATTAGACGGCAACTCAAAAAAACTGGATCCCTTGATAATGAAAAAAAAAGAGAGTGAGCTCTTTAATTATTCAATTATTAAATCTAAGTTAATTAACCTTACTCTCACTGCAACTACTGAAAGTTAATTAACCTTACTCTCACTGCAACTACTGAAAGTTAATTAACTTTACTATCACTGCAATTACTGAAAGTTAATTGAAATTACTCTCACTACAACTACTAAAAGTTAAATAACCTTGCAATCATTGCAACTACTGAAAGTTAATTAACCTTACAATCATTGCAACTACTGAATGTTAATTAACCTTACAATCATTGCAACTACTAAAAGTTAAATAACCTTACAATCATTGCAACTACTGAAAGTTAATTAACCTTACAATCATTGCAACTACTGAAAGTTAATTAACCTTACAATCATTGCAACTACTAAATGTTAATTAACCTTACAATCATTACAACTACTGAAAGTTAATTAACCATACTCTCACTATTAAATGGGTTCTAAAACACTGATCCTCTCACGTGTATAAAACAAGAAGATCGATTTGTTTCGTTATAAGGTTCTTTGTGGCTGGTTTTATAGTTCTTGAGAACTAGTCTACTAGGTTCATGAGAGCTAGTTAACCAGGTTCTTGATGGCTGGTTATCCAGGTTCTTGATGGCTGGTTATCCAGGTTCTTGATGGCTGGTTAACCAGGTTTCTGATGACTGGTTAACCAGGTTCTTGATGGCTGGTCAGGTTCTTCATGGCTGGTTAACCAGGTTCTTGATGGCTGGTTAACCAGGTTCTTGATGGCTGGTCAGGTTCTTCATGGCTGGTTAACCAGGTTCTTGATGGCTGGTTAACCAGGTTTTTGATGGCTGGTTAACCAGGTTCTTGAATGCTGTTTCCCCCGGGATCTGATGGGCTAGTATTATTATTATTATTATTATTATTATTATTATTATTATTAATATAATTAATAATTATTATTACTAGAATGATAATTATAATTATAGTATCTATATTATTATAATTATTATTATTATTATTATTATTATTATTATTATTAGTAGTAGTATAGTAGTTAGTAGTAGTAGTAGTAGTAGTACTAGTAGTAGTAGTAGTAGTAGTAGTAGTAGTAGTAGTAGTACTAGTAGTAGTAGTAGTAGTAGTAGTAGTAGTAGTAGTAGTAGTAGTAGTAGTAGTAGTAGTAGTATAGTAGTAGTAGTAGTAGTGGGGAGTGGTACAATAATAAGTATCAAAGGACTGACAACGTTCCTTTATTATTTTCATATACAAATATATAGTACATTATTTACATATTATTACATACAACAAAACTTCTTTATTTGGTCACAAGGTATCGATCATTATCATCATCATCATCATCATCATACACTGAGGTTCAGGGGACCCAACACTGCTGTCATTGATGTATAACGGTGTATAGCGAGAGGATAAAAAATAATATTGATGTGTGTATGACGGGAAGTATGGCAGGTATAACACTGCTGAGTGTGTGACTGCAGCATAAGTATGACTGCTGAGTGTATGATGGGTGTATAGTAGATATACGATATACGTAGTATGTGTGTATATTCCGACTAACAGGGATATGACACGAGGATGCGTTGAATGTGACGTGATTATGTGTGGAATATGATGGAAAGATGTGCTGAATGTGGCGTGAAGTATTGAAAGTAACATGAATATGTGTTAATATGGCGTCATGGTTTACTGAATATGACGTGAAAATGTTCTGAATTTGAAGTGGCATTGTTTTAAATATAAGGTGAAGAACTGAATATGACTTTGTTGCAGTGAATATGAAGTGATGATGTAAATATGTCACGAGGATTTAATGAAAGTGAATAGATAGATGGAAAGATTATGAAAAGAGGATGAAATAATATATAATGAAGATGGCATCAATATGAAGTGAAGATGACATTAATATGATACAATGAAGCAGAAAACATAAGAACATAAGAACATAAGAATGGAGGAACACTGCAGAAGGCCTACTGGCCCATGCGAGGCAGGTCCTTATCAAAACGACCTCTACCATAAGCTACCCAAGAAATAACTCCCGTACCCAATGACACCAATCAAACCCAGCCCCTCCCACTCATATATTTGTCCAGCCTCTTCTTAAAGCTACCCAAGGTAGCTTTAGAAGACCAGTACTTACCCATGTCCTTTCTAAACCTAAATTTATCCAACTTAAATCCATTATTTCTGGTTCTTACCTGGTTCGACACCCTCAGTACTGTATCTCACCCTCAGTCTGTATCTCTCAAAATTTGATACTTTGGCCCAGAATTCTTTTTATATCTTATAAAAGATATCAGTATTTCTACTTTTTTGATATATTTAATATTAAAAATTTCTGTAAATTTAATGCAAATATTTGCCTGGTTACAAATCTTATCGTTGACTTATCGAAATTTTTGACTCGGGGAAATTTCTATAGCAATTTCTTTTCTAATTTGAAAAATAAATATTCTAGTTGAGTTTGCTTTTATTTCAATATCTAAAGGCTCTTTAATAGTTCTTCAGTAGTTTGCTTTTTTCTTTCAGTTTGATTCTTATTGTTCTCCTAGTGACATCTGAAAAAATTATCCTCGTATAACTGAGTCACTCCGCAGTGGATACATATGACTGAGTCACTCCGCAGTGGATACATATGACTGAGTCACTCCGCAGTGGATACATATGACTGAGTCACTCCGCAGTGGATACATATGACTGAGTCACTCCGCAGTGGATACATATGACTGAGTCACTCCGCAGTGGATACATATGACTGAGTCACTCGCAGTGGATACATATGACTGAGTCACTCGCAGTGGATACATATGACTGAGTCACTTCGCAGTGGATACATATGACTGAGTCACTCCGCAGTGGATACATATGACTGGGTCACTCCGCAGTGGGTGGGTATAACTGACCCTCTGACCCACCTAACATAGTGACACCTACTGCTTCTATGTGGTCACAGTAGGAACACATGACTGAGTCACTTCACGATGGATACACATACTGATATATTTACTGTATACTTATAGTACATTTACTGTATATTTACAGTATATTTACTGTATAATTTATATTGTATAATTTATGTTACATAATTTATATTTAATTTTCTACGTATAGCAGAATGTGACAAATTTCGAGTTGTTTATCTGGATTTTCCTTTACAAAATTTATCTCATAGAAAAGGTTGATGTTCCTTTACAATACGGAAATTATAAAGAAAAACTATGTATCCTTTTTCTGAACGAGGAATTAATGAAAGAATTATTAACATTTTTTATTAAATTGAATCAATTTAACCCATGAATTTAAAATTAGAAATTAAGCGGGTTAAATACCATAGATTTAGCTCTCCGTGACTAACATGTAGCATATAATGAGAGTGGAGAGGGAAGGTGAGCTAGGAATTTTGCCCCAAAGTACATTATCTCTATGGTACAGTGCTACTTCCACGGTACAGTGATGGTTTCACGGTAGAGCGGAACCTCCATAGTGCAGTGGTAAGAGCGTTGGTTTTGTAATCTTAGGTTGACCTTCCCGTGGGTCGGGTTCTGTGAGGTCCCTGAGTTGGCTATGATCATGTTACTATGCTGTCGCGAGTCGAATTGTTTAAGAAAGTTAAGTATGTTTTGTGGTGTAAATAACGTGCACACAGGTTATTATTTTAGGATTTGGTAATTTTTGGGGGGAAAGGTTGTTCAAGTAAAGTTCCAATGATCCTTTTTTTTCACCCTTAATTTATGTTATTGTGATGGCGAGTTTATCGGTAAAAAAAAACTGATAATCTATTTTGATTAATTCTGCCTCTCTCTGTCTCTCTCTTTATACTTTATGCATTTTAATCTCGTACGATATTTCGTCAGTTGTTTTAATTAATCTTCTCTCTCTTTCTCTCTCTCTCTCTCTCTCTCTCTCTCTCTCTCCTCTCTCTCTCTCTCTCTCTCTCTCTCTCTCTCTCTCTCTCTCTCGTAAATGACCATGAAATAATTATTATCAACAAAGAGAAGGGGGAAGGTGAAGGGATGATGATCGCAGCAGCAGTGGCCCCCAAAACTCTCAGGTAAAACTCAACGAAAGAAATGGAAACGAAAAATTAAAATTACACCGGGATTTTCGACCTACATTTCTACTATCCAGCATATAAAACCACAGTAAAAATAAAAGGCTACGTTGCAGTTTTAGGTCTAGTGGAGACGAGACACAGTACTGAAGGACACAGAGAGATATTTACAACAGGTGAGATCAAACGGTTATCTTCCTACTATGAGCAGGAAATGATCAGCATAGATGAAGTTCCTCGGCAGTAGAATCAGGAATGTTGCAGTTTGTGTTCACATGAGCAACCAGAACACTGACCTCACCAGATACACTACTCAACGGTACAAATGGCTCTGAGACGCTTCCCGTGTGCGAGTCTTGTATATCTGGAGATTACATGACACTGTACCACGTTACTGACGCAATACCTCACACCTGTGTCATCTGTTCTGGACTTGACACGCCACGGTGGCCAGCTGGGGAAGACGTACACATTCCAGGCTGCGTACTAGTAACAGCAGTATGTGTTTCATTTCTTTTTTCAAGGGCTAAATAAGGTGGAATTTTTAGTGAAATTTCCATAAGGATCAGCTTCGTTACTCTGTGTCAGCAACTTTTTTAAGTTTAGTTCATTATGCTTCCTGTTTGTGTTACTCAGTTTTGGTAGTCTTGGGATAACGTATAGAAGTATGAAATCCAGCAGTAATAGTCCAACAGTTTCTCGGAAGGAAGATTCGTGTGGTTACCAGTGTTTTTCCTGTCTTATGCATCATCTTACGAAGAAATTAAGACTCAGTCTGAGAAGTTTCTGCTCGTAAACACTCACAGTGACTCTAATACTCGCTAGTGTTGCAATATTTTCCAGAATGATTTTGCAATACAACAACATAATTTGGTTTCTCCTAATTGTAATTAACCGTTCTGACACTCGGAGATAAATTTTCATACAATATAAAAAAATTAAACGAAACTGCAAATCATAGATATATTTTTTTCTGAAATGAAAATAACAGAAGTCCCGGCTCAATAATTAATGGGTTTTATAATCCCGATTTAATATCGTATTAACGCAAAACTTCTGGATTTTAGGTCATGCGGAGTTGCCCAAACACGGTCAGCCATTCGTCAATTCATGACAGTTTGTCGGTAATATTTTATTCCAGCGCTTCTGGCTGTTCTGTTGCTCGCCGGAAACACGTTTTCCAGAACTGCGGCTGATTTATTATTCGAGATGATTTGTCACCA